CATTCTAAGGCACTGGAATGTGGACAATGTTTTTCGTGGAATGCCAGGGCCAAGTTTTCTTTTTTGCAAAAGCTTTATTTTTGACAGGGTTTTTGAAGCTTTATGTATTTGCTGAGTGGGCTGTCAATAAAGAAGATCTTTTATTTTTATGATGGTTGATAAGAAACTGCTTTTATCTTTGTTACCAAAGGAAAGCCAAAATTATTGCATCAAAAATCTGTATTTTTCCTGGAAATACACAAAGGACATAAGAGCTAATAGCATTTATATCTGCTGCCCATGAAAGGGTTAAAGTTGAACATTACAGACAGCTGTACTGTATGTGCGGTGCTTACAAAAAAAATAACCGCTACATGTTGCAGTTTCAGCACATTGTCCATAATGTGTTTGAAGGACACCTTCCTCTGTGCTAAGAGCACTTTTAAAAACAGAGTTTGAACTCTGATCTGCAATTTTCAAGAGCAGAGGTGGGAGTCTTTCTGCCAACTATACAAAAATATTTCCTTGTCAAGAGATCAGCTTTTCTCCTCTATGTGTAATAAAAATAGTATCCCTACAACAAGTTAAAAATACAAAAATAAATAAATATATATATACATATACATACACACACACACACACACACACACACTATATTGCCAAAAGTATTGGGCCAGCCCTCCAAATCATTGGATTCAGGTGTTCCAATCACATGGCCACAGATGTATAAAATCAAGCACCTAGGCATGCAAACTGCTTCTACAAACGTTTGTGAAAGAATGGGTTGCTCTCAGGAGCTCAGTGCATTCAAGCGTGGTACCGTGATTATTATTATTACATCGAGTTTATATAGCGCCAAAGGGTTTGCTCAGCACTGTACAGTAGAGGGGGGGGGGGGGACAATACAAGAAACAGAACAGCAACTACAAACAGCACACGAAGGGTTAGAGGGCCCTACTCTTTCGAGCTTACAATCTAGGAGGGGGGGGTAGTGGTACAGGAGGAAGTGGCTGTGGGGGATGGAGTGGTAGGAGGAATGAAGGAGAACGGCTGTTAGGTGAGGGTGGGGTAGGCTTCCCTGAAGAGGTGGGTTTTCAGGGAGCGCCTGAAGGTGAGGAGGGAAGGTGACAGTCTGATGGATTGGGGTAGTGAGTTCCAGAGGATGGGGGAGGACCTGGAGAAGTCTTGCAGTCGTGCGTGGGAGGAGGAGACCAGGGAGAAAGATAGAAGGAGGTCCTGTGAAGAGCGAAGGGTACGGGTAGGGTGGTACCTGGGAATCAGGTTGGTGAGGTAGTTAGGGGCAGTGTTGTGAAGGGCTTTGTAGGTCAGAGTGAGTAGTTTGAATTTGATGCATTGGGCGATAGGGAGCCAGTGGAGGGAGAGGCAGAGGGGGGTGGCAGAGGTGGAGCGGTTGGTGAGGTGGATGAGTCTAGCCGCTGAGTTCAGGATGGTCTGAAGCGGGGAGAGCCTGCACTGGGGTAGGCCGGTGAGGAGGGAGTTGCAGTAGTCGAGGTGTGAGATAATCAGGGAGTGTACGAGTAGTTTAGTGGTGTCTGGGGTAAGGAAGGTGCGTATCTTGGCGATGTTGCGAAGGTGGAGCCTGCATGTGTTTGTAAGTGATTTGACATGAGGTTGCAAGGAAAGGTTTGAGTCCAGAATGACGCCAAGGACTTTGGCTTGCAGGGCGGGATTGATGGTGGTGTTGTTGGTAGTGATGGATAGGATGGGGGGGGGGGGGTGGGGCAGGGGGAAAGACGAGAAGCTTGGTTTTGGAGAGGTTAAGCTTGAGGAAATGGAGCGACATCCAGTCAGAGATGTCGTTTAGGAGGTGAGTGATGCGGGCGGAGAATGTAGGGGTGAGGTGAGGGGTGGAGAGGTAAATTTGAGTGTCATTAGCGTAGAGGTGGTAGTTGAAGCCGTGGGAGTGTATGAGTTTGCCAAGGGAGGAGGTGTAGATGGAGAAGAGAAGGGGTCCAAGGACAGAGCCCTGGGGGACCCCAACAGAGAGGGGGAGGGAAGGGGAGGTGGCACCGTTGTAGGAAACGCTGAAGGAGCGTCGGGATAGGTAAGAGGAGAACCAGGAGAGAGCGGTGTCTCTGATGTCAAGGGAGATTAGTTTATTAAGGAGGAGGGGGTGGTCAACTGTGTCGAAGGCCGTGGAGAGGTGCAGGAGAAGGAGGACAGAGTATTCGCCTTTGGCGGTTAGTAGGTCGTGATAGGTTGTCACCTGTGCAATAAGTCCATCCGTGACATTTCCTAGCTACTAAATATTCCTCGGTCAACTGTTAGTGGTATTATAACAAAGTGGAAGCAACTGGGAAAAACAGCAACTCAGCCATGAAGTGGTAGGCCACGTAACATGACACAGAGGGGTCAGCGCATACTGAAGCACACTGTGTGCAGAAGTCACCAGCTGTCTGCAGAGTCAGTAGCTGAAGACCTCCAAACTCCATGTGGCCTTCAGATTAGCACAACAACAGTTCAGAATGAATAACATTCATGGAATGGGTTTCCATGGCCTAGCATATGCATTCAATCCTTACATCGCTTCCAGTGAAGGGAACTCTTAAGGTGTCCGTGTATGAAGACATTTTGGACAATTGCTCTCAACTTTGTGGGAACAGTTTGGGGATGACCCCTTCCTGTTTGAACATGACTGCACACCAGTGCACAAAGCAAGGTCCACAAAGATATGCATAAGCAAGTTTGAAGTGGAGGAACGTGACTGGCCTGCACCTCAACCCAACAGAACACCTTTGAGATGAATTAGAGCAGGGACTATGAGCCAGGGCTTCTCGTCTAACATCAGTCCCCGACAACGGCGGACTGACAACTCATGGGGCCCCTGGGCAATAGGGGATCATGGGGCCCCGTGTCCTTGCCCAAACTCAAAAAAGCCTATGAAAAAGGTACCAGGGGCATCTCATGGGGCCCCCTACTGACCTCGGGCCCTCGGGCAGTGCCCGAGTTTCCAAATGGTCAGTCGGCCCCTGGTCCCTGACCACACAAATGCTCTTCTGGGTGAATGGTCATTCCCATAGACACACTCCTAAACCTTGTGGACAGCCTTCCCAGAAGAGTTGAAGCTGTTATAGCTGCAAAGGGCGGGGCTAACTCAATATTGAACCCTACGGACTAAGACTGGGATGCCATTAAAGTTCATGTGCATGTAAAGACAGGCATCCCAATACTTTTGGAAATAAAGGGTGTAGTGCTACCTCCTTAAGAGCCTTGAAGTATTTTTGGGTTCCCTGTCTGTTCTGAGCCCGATTTGGAAGCACAACCCCTACTGACTTCTGTGTAAGACTTTGGCTAGGACAATCCCCTGGCCCTGGAACACAACATAATCACACAATTTGAAGTGAACCAATATTTTGATTTTATTGAGATCAAGGAAATGGTGCAAACACAAAAGAAATAACAGTATTTTGTGCAGTTGCTAGTCACTCTGTAAGGCTCAGCCAAATAATCAAACACAGTACACCTTTAAAACAAACCCAAAATGTTCTGCAGGACCCAAAATTAAACGCCAATCCACACACTGAGATATCTTTCCCAAAAATTAGCTGTACTATGGTTATCAAAAATTTGGGCTAACTCACTTTTGGATTCTTAGTTATCTGGGAACAGGGTTTAATTATAAGATGAATGTCCTGATGTTAATGTCCCATTAAATACCACCCCAGAATAAGAAAAAGAATATAACTCTTCTGTATGCTTGTTTTGGGCCCTAGTTAGTGCACATAAAGGTCAATGTCCTTTTTAGTTGAGAGCAAGATTTGTTGAGGAAGGAAACACAGTAGTGGGGAAAATTCCTCCCCAACTGATGGTGACAAAGTCAGAGAAAAGGTCCCTTAGTGGGAGTGGATGAATGCAAAGATCAATACTGATGAAGAAAGGCTGGGAGTAAACTTCAAGTGAGTTTGTATTCCAGTAGATGGGGAATTGACATGATGAAGCAAGCTTCTTTATGGCTATAATATTTTGAAGATAGGATATTGACGGTGCTGCTATCCTCCAAGACACATGTACTGCATGATTAGTCCTGCGTTCAGAGCAATAAGAAAGGGGGCACAGAAGCTGTAGGCCTCAGTACTGAATTGGGCTAAGAAGTCTGTGTTGCAGGTGGTAAACTGAGATGCAAAGTGTGTTACGCTGATATAACTGAGAAAGAACAGGATATCTGGTAACTGAAGACAGTTGGGGTTGTGGAATCCTGTAATCAATAATGTAGTGAGAAACTATAGGTTGGGGGTACCCCGTATCCCTCTGAGAATGGAACAATACCGGACACGATTCCACAATCTGTAGGCCTGCAGAGTCAGCACTCCTGCTTGTCAGCAATGCCAGCTATCTGTAATCCTTTTGTCCAGATCTCCAATCAATCCGAATTGGTCTAGGCCCATTGAGCCTCGCACTAGCATCCAGTACACGTCCTTCTTACACAGTCTTTCTCTCCTCCCTTCTGGAAGTTTCCAAGCTTTTGGTTATAAAGGCTCCCTCCAATCTGCCAGCTCCTCTGGAAAATGTAGTCTGCTTTCAGTCTGTCTCTGCACATCAGTCCTGCCTTCAGCGTACAAGTTCAACAATGCTTTCCTAGATATAAGTCTGTGATAGCTGGTTAATCAACATCCCGCAAACAGTAACAGTGCAGTGTGTTACATAAACATTGAATCCTGGGTGAAAGTTGTATGAATTCTGGATGTCTGGAATAACTATAACGATATACTGTACATTGGCAAGAGAGCAGATTTTTCTCCTCTATGTGTAATAGAAATAAGAACTCTACAACAAGTAAAAAAAAAATGTGTGCATGTGTGTGTATATATATATTATATATATTATATATATATATATATATATATATATATATATATAAAATCCTGGGTGAGAGTTATGTGAATTTTGATGTCTGGATTAATTTTAATGATATACATTGGTATAACATGTCTCTAACGGCGCAGTAGAAATTGCTAAGCGCACCAAACGTTATGTCACTTTTCCTCATCCTTGTCATTTAGGTCAACACTATCAAAGAACCATTTGCTATTCTTAAAGAAATTCAGAAGAGCACGATGAAAGATATTCTACCTGTTGATATAATTGCCTATGTTGAAGTACTTGCAGCCTCCTCTCCACAACTGTCCACATTAAATAAGACAGCGCTGAACCCAGAAACCTTGACAAATGCCACTCTTACGGTATGTAATTTAGGTTTATTATAAGCTTGTCATCAAGAAAAAAGACTGTAGTCCACTAATTGGAAAGTTTGTATGAAGTCTATCAGATAGGCTCTATCAAGAGTGTATGCACCAATGGTCCTCCAATGCTGTCCCACTATGAAATATATATATGTGACTAGGCCAGAAAGTATTTTTGTTCTTCAAGCTACACAATTCTGTATGTTCTCAACTCCCTGCCCAGACCTGAGAAGTGCCATGCAGATCCACCCAGGATGGATCCCCCAGGGTTCTGTAATATTGAAAACAATGTTATCTGTTTAGCACTTAAAATTAACCTTGGCCAGATCATGCACGGGTCTACAAGCCTGTCATTTAGGCATACTGTATGCCTTGGTGCTAAGACACCTTAGCTGGAAGTGATGATAGTCCAGATCTTGTCCAGTTAACCATTCCAATAAAGTCTTAAGTTGAAAATAAAAAAGCCAACAGAAGTAGCACACAGGTAATAGTAAGGACTATTAATGCCCTACATTGATGGTACACTCCCGGGCAGTCTCTGGAAACCATGCTGTAGGTAGAGATGATAATTCCACTATTTATTCATAAAAGATAAATGAGCATAAAAAAGAGTGTTGTCCAAAAAGTCAAACCAAACCTGACCACATAAACAACTTGGTGTGATGTAGGCCTCGGGTATTGGGATTTGGCTTTGCTCGTCCTTGTAGCCAGGCAGTGAGGGTAACCCAAAAATTCAGATGATGGCAGACACAGTATTCAAAATGGGGAATCCAAAATCCAGATGGCAGCTGACACAGTATTCAAAGTGGGGAACCCAAAAATCCAGATGGCAGTCGACTCAGTATTCAAAGAGGGGAACGAAAAAATTCAGATGGCAGCAGATACAGTAATTCTGAAGCCAAGTCCCAATACCCAAGTCTGTTATTTAGTTGCTTTAGCATTATAGCCAATAAATGAAATGACAGATGCCCGAGCTGCTGGAATATAAATAGCTTCGGGTATCCTGAGTGATGTCATTGATCAAATATAGTTATAATGCCCCTTGTTATTCACTCACCCCCTTGATACTCAAATTCAAAAAAGTAGATAAAATCTACCATGCCATGGAAAAGCCCTTTATTGAAAACAATATAAATAAATAGACAATGTTCCCTGATATGAGTACAACATACATGTCATCATCCAGCGATATATAGATCCATGTCAATCATAATGAGAGATACCCGATGATGTTGACTTACTGTAAAAAGAATGCTGTCACATCACTACTATATCCCTGGTGCAACTGTAATGTAAACACAGCGGCTGGAATCCCAGCTGATGCCATCAACCAAACATGGTCATGTCCATAGTTGGTTGATGACATCACCCCGGATCGACAACCCATTTGTTTAAAAGCAAACCTGCGGAGATCTGTCATTTACAAGTGGTAGTGCAACTGCCTGTAAATGACAGATCCCTTGGTTTGTTGACAAACACAAGCTGGTAGGGACTTGTCATTTAGCGGCAGTAGTACTACAACAGATAAATGACAGATCCCCAGATGCTTTTAAAGGAGTACATCGTACTGCTCCACAACTTCATGTGCAGGTTTAAAGCATTCCCAAAGAATTAATTAGCAAAATTAATAACATCACATTAAAAGCACCTAAAGTGATCAGTAATGGCTTGCTTAAAGCTCTTTTACTACTTTTTAAGAATATTAGGTACTTGAAAGTCCATAGAGAACAGTTTGATGCCAATAAATTGTGCACAGATGGACTCTATAGTAGAACTTACCTTTTTTTTTAACTTTGGATAGAAGGCAGGTTTAGGGCATCAATCAGGCTTTTAATTGCTGTTTATGGTCCCGCTGGGGAAATTTACACTAACTTCCCATTGACTGTGACTCAACAGGAAGTAAGAAAGTGTCTCCCAAAAATGAGGGGATGTCCCATCTTTGACAGTTGCTTCTCAAGCAGGTGTGCTCATTGGAAAATTTCCCCTCAGCTCCTGCTCCATTAACAGGCATAACAATTTGTATGTCTGTCCGAGTGACAATGGTCACCAGCACAAACTGTAAGGGCAGACCTCCTCAGAAGGGGACAGAGACTCTTTAAAAAAGAAACCTGAATGTAGTGCTCACTGCCTTTAGGGCCACCAGAAGACATTCATCTTCATTAAGTCTTAATACAGGTTTCCTAGTGCATTCTGTCACGATTTTGTTAACATTGACTGCTTAAGTCCTGAAGAAGGGGGAAGCTTATTCTGCCGAAACGCGTTGGATGCAGTTGATGCTTTTAACCATTTTAATATTTCAATAAGTTCTTTAATTGAGATGATCTTTTGTACCAGGCACTACTCAGTACATATTGATAAAATTTACCGTCTGGAAAGTGGGTCCACCCATATTATATTTCGGTCATGGATACACTACTTTGAAGGCAAAATCACTTTACGGTAGATTTATCGGAACCAGCTTTTACTTCTACTGGTACAGTGCTTTCACACACATCATGCAAAGCATTAAAGTCATGGCACATGTACACCTCGACCTGCTGCTTTCTCAACCTAATGGAATGTAGTTGGAAGAAGGTAACAAAGTGGCTTAGCCTTGTGTTTTTTACTGACCCCTCCCTCAAGTGTAAATGAGCCCCTTACCACACATTGCAATAGCACTCAGTAGGTCCTAAATAAACTTTTAATCAACCAAAAACCTGCGCCAAAATGTAAATCACCAACCAATGCTGCTGCTCCTTGTTGACCAATAATCAAACAAAAATGTGGAAAAAAGAAAAAAACAGCGCAAAAAACATAATATAAATATAAATAAACATAAATAATAATAGTGTCTAAATCTAAACACAGCACAAAAACTTAATATAAATATATATAAAAAAAATGTAAATAATATTGGTGTCCAAATCAATAAATTCCCAATCCAAAAACATGTTCCACATCCAATGTGCTCCAAAAGAAATAGTGATGAATCTCATGCACTGAAGTTTCCTTTGCACGAGATTCATCACTATTTCTTTTGGAGCACATTGGATGTGGAACATTTTTTTTGGATTGGGACTTTATTGATTTGGATATTTAATATATATATATATTGGATTTTTAATATATATATTTATATTAAGTTTTTGTGCTGTGTTTAGATTTAGACACTATTATTATTTATGTTTATTTATATTTATATTAATTTTTTTGCACTTTTTTTTCTTTTTTTACCTAAATAAACTTTGACAATAAGCACTCACAGGCAATAAAAATACAAATATATAAGTAGAATGTTTAGAAACTGTTTATAGACTGTGGGTTTCCCACTGCAGGTCACTCACATGAATTTAAAGCAGAATTAAACCCAAAAGCAAACATTTATTGCAGTATATTACAGCTCACCAATTCTTAGATGTGATAGCTGCATTCGTTTTTTTGTATACTTTCTTTGATTTTATTTACCTAGTGATCCAGCCAGTAAGTCTGCTGTTTTCAACAAAACAAGCTCTCTTGCAGATGTAGCAGTTATTGGGTTGAGACAAACCATTTATCACTGACAGGGGTGTTTATGATCAGGTTTTAATTATTTATGTAAAATCTTTATTTCAAAAGGAAAAAACTTGTTTGCTGCAACTGTGTATAAAGAGTGAGCTGAAGTTTGAGTTCAGTTTGTTAGTGTATCTAAGTCCATCTAACCCTCCCCCCTCCCCAAACTGACAATGCTGCTGTCCAAAGATGCCCCTGTGCTCATTGCTTTAGAGTGGGGTCTCTAGGTGTGTTACTGGCCAGATCACCAGGTGAAAACAGATAGAAAAAGCCGAAATAAACGAATGCAGCCACCACAACTAATGCTTCCTGCACACTGGGCAATTTATTAACACTGGTACTGTTAGCTGTGTAAAGTTATGTTAAAAATGCAAGTTTTTTTTAGCATTTTTGCATTAGCGTTCAGCCGCGTTTTGCTGCGTTTTTCCGCGTTTGCATTTTTTTGCCAATTTTGCATTAGTGTTTAGCTGCGTTTTGCAGCGTTTGAAATTTTTATACCGTATTTTTCGCTCCATAAGACGCACCCGACCATAAGACGCACCTAGATTTTAGGGGCGGAGAACAAGAAAAAAAAAATATTCTGAACCAATAGACTGCAGACATAGTACAGGAGATGACCAGAGACTGCAGACATAGTACAGTAGATGACCAGAGACTGCGGACACAGTACAGGAGATGACCAGAGACTGCGGACAGTACAGGAGATGACAAGAGACTGCGGACATGGTGCAGGAAATGCCCAGAGACTGCGGACACTACAGGAGATGACCAGAGACTGCAGACACAGTACAGGAGATGACCAGAGACTGCAGACACAGTACAGGAGATGACCAGAGACTGCAGACAGTACAGGAGATGACAAGAGACTGCAGACACAGTACAGGAGATGACCAGAGACTGCGGACATAGTACAGGAGATGACCAGAGACTGCGGACATAGTACAGGAGATGACCAGAGACTGCGGACAGTACAGGAGATGACCAGAGACTGCGGACATAGTACAGGAGATGACCAGAGACTGCGGACATAGTACAGGAGATGACCAGAGACTGCGGACAGTACAGGAGATGACCAGAGACTGCAGACACAGTACAAGAGATGACCAGAGACTGCGGACATAGTACAGGAGATGACCAGAGACTGCGGAAATGGTGCAGGAAATGCCCAGAGACTGCGGACACTACAGGAGATGACCACAGACTGCAGACAGTACAGGAGATGACCAGAGACTGCAGACAGTGCAGGAGATGAGCAGAGACTGCAGACAGTGCAGGAGATGAGCAGAGACTGCAGACAGTGCAGGAGATGAGCAGAGACTGCAGACAGTGCAGGAGATGAGCAGAGACTGCAGACAGTGCAGGAGATGAGCAGAGACTGCAGACAGTGCAGGAGATGAGCAGAGACTGCAGACAGTGCAGGAGATGAGCAGAGACTGCAGACAGTGCAGGAGATGAGCAGAGACTGCAGACAGTGCAGGAGATGACCAGAGACTGCGGACATGGTGCAGGAAATGCCCAGAGACTGCGGACACTACAGGAGATGACCAGAGACTGCGGACACAGTACAGGAGATGACCAGAGACTGCAGACAGTACAGGAGATGACCATAGACTGCGGACACAGTACAGGACATGACCAGAGACTGCAGACAGTACAGGAGATGACAAGAGACTGCAGACAGTGCAGGTGATGACCAGAGACTGCAGACAGTGCAGGAGATGACTAAGAGACTGCTGACCTTTGGTGAGGGAGGGGGAGTGGGTACCTGAATTTGACAGGTACCCGCTCTCACTTCCGCTGAGTTATCCTCCCTGACAGCCAGGTGCCCAGTGCACATGCGCGAGAAGTGCTTTGTGATTGGTCTTCTGGGACCTGTCATGTGTCCCAGAAGACGCCGTACCATTCACAAAGCGCAGCGCTTCTCGCGCATGTGCACTGGGCACCCAGCTGTCATTGCTGAGAGCCCACACTAAAGAAGCCGGCACGGGAAGACTGCGCAGCGCTGGACCGAGAAAAAGGTAAGGTCCTGCTGCAGAGAAGAGCTGAGCGGCCGGCCCGGTATTCTGACACGGCGACGATGGAAATACCGGACTGGCCGCTTCATATTCGCTCTGTAAGACGCACTGACATTTTCCCCCTTTTTTAGGGGCAAAAAGTGCGTCTTATGGAACGAAAAATACGGTAGTTTTTTAGCGTTTTTTACACACAAAGAAAAAATTGCTCAAAAACAGTCCAAGAATGCTGGTTTCCCATGTTTTACCGCGTATTTCAGCCTTAGAGTGTTTTTACAGCTAGAAAACTCTTCTAGAAACCCATTAGTTGTGGGGGTTTTTCCAGCCAAAAAACGCCCCTGCCAAAAAACGTTGATTACAGTCTGTGTGCATGGACACATAGGATAACATGCTGGGGGGATGGACACATAGGATAACATGCTGGGGATGGACACATAGGATAACATGCTGGGGATGGACACATAGGATAACATGCTGGGGATGGACACATAGGATAACATGCTGAGGGGTTTACTGGCTGTAGAAAAAAACAGCCGCTGTAAAAAAGTCCAGTGTGCATGCGGACTAAGAATTGGTAAACTGATAGATATTATTTTTAGTTTTGGGTTTAATACCACTTTAAAAAATAAACACATTTCCTTTCTTCTTTCAATGGCCTCACCAACACTGTAATCTTTCTTCAAACGTGACAAATTCACTTTAAAGTGAGAAAAGTAAAAGGCCAGCGTATACCGCCATAACGTCTTTCCCTGTGTATCGGCAGACTTTTGTTAACACCGTGAACAACTTTGTTGAAAAGGATAAAATTACAGTTTGGAAAAAGCTGAAAGACGAGGACCGGAGAAAAAGTATCACAAAACTCCTACACACCACAGAACAATTGGCTCTGGATATGTCACAGAATTTCAAGAAAACAACGCAACTGGATGTTGATGCCAGCGATATGGGTGAGGATATGACTGTGTGAAATTGCTCTCTCTTTTCAAAAAAAGTTTTTCCTCTTTTTGATGGATGTATTTTGTAAACTGTAAATTGGTAATGAAAGAGCAGAAGTTCAGATACAAAAATCCTTTTAGACAGATTTACTAAAACTGGAGCACTTGGAATCTGGTGCAGCTGTGCAAGGTAGCCAATCAGCTTCTAAACTCAGCTTGTTCAATTAACCCCTTCGTGCCTAAGGGTAAAACAAAACTTAAAGCACAATTTTGCAACTTTGGCATGTGTTAGCAAAACCGTACATATCATCACAACTATTTTGTGCACCATTCGGTGGTAAATGGTAAATCAAATGTATTGATTTTTTTTATTATCAAAGGAAAACTGACCCAAAAATTTTTTTTAGTTTTAGTTTTAATTTAGTTGTATATTTCTTGCTACTACCACAACCAACCACCAAAGAACAACCCAAATTATTTCTCCTGCTGCTGGCGATCACAGCGATACCACATGTGTGTATGTTAGTTCTTGTTCATACCCGTAGTATGGCCCAGAAGCAATAATTCACATTTTGCTTTTTTTAATCCTGCCAGTTACTGACACTGATGCTAATTTAAAAAAAAAAAAAAAAAAAACCTGGCCAAAAAAAAAAAAAATACTGACTCTGAACCTTGACCCTGACCTTGACCTTTGACCCTTCATTTGACCCAAACACTAACCCTGGCACCGATCTATGTTTTTTTATTTATTTTTTCAATTTTATTTTGTTATTATTTTATTTATTTATTAGCTTTTTACAAACTCTTTTCTCTCTGAAAGGACAGAGAGAGATACAATGTATCTCTCTCCTCCATTCAGAGAGAGAAAACAAGGGGGGCAGGCTTCACAGTGATATCCAATCAGAGGCTTTCACAGTGATCATGGGACCCGGAATCGGAAGTACCGGGTCCCAATAGTTAGAATGGGATCCGGGGCTCTCACTGACACCCGGTCTTTGTGCTGGAACGTGCCGTGTGGCGCACTCCAAGCACAAAGACAGGTACACAAATTAGCTGCCCCGTGGGTAAAAAGGCCAGTCTAGTGGGGTCACTAATTTGCGTATGCTCGGCACCAAGGGGTTAAGCTTTGATAATAAACCTGGACGCCGAGTGGTTTCTATGCAGATGCACCAGATTTTGTACTCTCCAATTTTAGTAAAAAACCCCCAATGAGTTATTCACAAATATTTCTTTCAGGATTGGATTTGTAGAAAGTTTATATAAGAAGCCCCTGGTTCAGAGCCTAACAGAAACAAAGAAACACAGCGCCTCTAAGTGTGTACTATGAAGATATTTAATAGAAAGATAGGTTGTAAATCACATCTTAGAATTAGATTTACTACTTCTCTTTCACACTTAGAGGCGCTGTGTTTCTTTGTTTCCCTTCTGCAGAGTTATGCTTCGCTCCTACGCAGCTTGCCCTTAGTGCCTACTGGACTACCTTCACCCCTGCCCATTTGGAACTCATCAAACATACATGGACTGCCACACCATGCGCCTGTTATCCCTTTTGTCCTGATTCAGAGCCTGCCCGCCTGTAGTATGCTATGGTACATACTCATGGCCAATGAAGTTAATATTAAAGTGTTTGTTACTCCAGCATTTCATTTTCCTGATATGTGCCTGTTGTACCGTGTAGCCTGATCTCTTTGTATTGCTTCCTTTGTGTGGAAAACTTTGTGATTCTACTAGTTCCCCTGCTTTCCTATTTCAAACTGACCATGCTAGGCATGGGAGCACATATTCCCCAGTGTGGTCAGTTTTCTGGCTCTGCTGGGAGCACAGCCTGCCTGTTTTCCAATGGCCAAGACTTGTGACACCCCCTTGCACAGTCATTCACTGGGAAAATCAGTGTACTGCTAGTTCTCCATCCTGCAGACACCCCCTGCCCCCCCCCCCCCCCCCCACAGTCTCCACTCATATATATCTAAGGTGTTCTGATCACTGATAAGTCCTCAAGCACACAGGACATTTAAAAAACTCTCCTAGAAGCCTTCCTCCTGCCAACAGTGTTTTTGCAGAGAAGACTTGTAAAAGTATTTAAAAGAGTTTAGGCGCGTCTACAGGCGTCAAACGCTTGGGCAATAATTTATTTCATTGGCCAGAATAAGCGTTTATTCTGGCCATTGAAATTAATTAACATTCAAGCGCTAAGTGCTCCTAGCGTTAGGTGCATTTACACACGTTAAGTGTTTTTTTTTGCCAAATCGGTGCTGCTCCTGGACGCACTGGCTCTGGGTTTTTTCCTGCCTGTAAATGCTCCTGCCCAGGAGCGGACTGACCATTTGGATACTCGGGCACTGCCTGAGGGCCCGGGGTCAGTAGGGGGCCCCATGAGATGCTCCTGGTATCTTTTTCATCTTTAATGGCATCCCAGTCTTAGTCCGTAGGGTTAAATATTGAGTTGGCCCGCCCATTGCAGCTATAACAGCTTCAACTCTTCTGGGAAGGCCGTCCACAAGGTTTTTTTAGGAGTGTGTGTATGGGAATGACCATTCATCCAGAAGAGCATTTGTGTGGTCAGGGACCAGGGGCGGACTGACCATTTGGACACTCGGGCACTGCCCGAGGGCCCGGGGTCAGTAGGGGGCCCCATGAGATGCCCCTGGTACCTTTTTCATAGGCTTTTTTGAGTTTGGGCAAGGACACAGGGGCCCCATGATCCCCTATTGCTCAGGGGCCCCATGAGTTGTCAGTCCGCCCCTGCTCCTGCCCCACTACAAGCTGCTAAAAGTCTATGTTTGCATTGGCACATAGGATAACACGGAGCATCGTCTCTTGGTTCACCCCCTACCTACCTCCCAGTACCACCCCTTTTAGAGAATACAAAAACAATAGACCCTCCAGCAATCAGAAACAATAAACCCTTCCCTCCATATAGATCCCTAGCAGCAACAATTGACTCCTCAGCAACATAAGACCCCCTCCCCGCAACAACAGATCCCCCACCAGCAACAATAGACCCCCCCAGCAACAATAACCCCCCACAACAATAGATCCCCCTAGCAACAATTAATTCCCCAGTAGCCAGCATCAATAGCCCCTCCAGCATCCCCCAGCACCCCTTGCCATAACATACATTCAGTTCTGGAGGTGCTGCATGTGCCAGAACTGCGTTCCCCCATGTTCCTGCTGAAAAAAAAAACCCTGCATATAGCAAATATAATGTGTAGCCTTTAGGTGATGTCAAGGTCTACTCTTGAGGCCCTTTATGTCTAGTAAGTTGTCCTCTGCTGTAAAAGTCTTTGACTTAGGGTGATGAAACTTCAGGGGGAGACAAATATGTCAGCATTGAAGAGCATACGGCTTTGTTTTAATGGCATCTGGCACGCACAAAGAGGATTTACATGCTTGTGGCCTTTGAGGAATGCTTTTACTCCCGGAGTTTAGCTTTAGGAGCCCAGTTGTAAACCAGTGGCCTGTCCCTATGGCAGCATGCCATAAAAAAAACAAATGCACATTTATAAAGCACAGCATGTTTAGCACTTTGCTTGCTTCGGGACACCAAAGCAAGCACAGCCTCATTCATTTCAATGAAAGATTAAAGAAAAAGCCACCAGAAAGAGATTTTCTCTAAGACTATCTATGTCTAGTATCATCCATGCATCCCATCCATCCAGGGGTGGACTGACCATTTGGAAACTCGGGCACTGGCCGAGGGCCCGGGGTCAGTAGGGGGCCCCATGAGATGCCCCTGGTACCTTTTTCATAGGCTTTTTTGAGTTTGGGCAAGGACACAGGGACCCCATGATCCCCTATTGCGCGGGGGCCCCATGAGTTGTCAGTCCACCCCTGCATCCGTCTAACCAACCAACCCATCCATTCATCCATGAATCCATTCATTCACAAGCCAATCTATCCATTCATTGCACCCATCCATCTACAAATCTATCTATCTATCTATCTATCTATCTATCTATCTATCAATCTATGGATCGATCTATGGATCGATCCATCTCCTGTGCACAAGCTCATATATGTTGCTGACTGTTGGGCATTAAATCTCTGTAGACTTTATTTGAAGATGCAAAGCATTTAAATGACCTATGATAAAATGTCAGGAGCCTGCCTGGTATCCCCGGTTCCATCAAACTCTTTTCTCTAATGAGACTTCATCGCCAGCCAAATTGCAATAGTATTGAGACTGTCAGAATTTAATAACTGTGCTGATGCAATCAATTTCATTCCTTGGGGACACGCCTTCTGATTAAATCATTGCAGAGCACTGATTGGTTGACGTCATAAAGTGGCAAAATAGATTTAATTAAATTTCTCGCAGTTCACTCTCATTACTTTGAAGAACTCCAGGCGACTCTCAATCCAACATAAAATAAAATGATATTGTTTTAAAACTGACAGCTGGTAATGCCATGGAATATAGATGGTGTATGTCTTTACCTTCTTTTCTTGCAATGGGAGAGAAGAAATCCAGGATCTGACACCCTGGAAGATGTTGGACCCCCTCCAAGAGGGTTCCGATAGTATTGTAGGAACAGATTATACTTGACCAGGTATGACAAGCCAAACACTCTCCAAAGGGGCAAGTTAAAATTTAAATAAATTATTTAAATGTAACATCCCCCCCATTCTGCAGTTATCCACAATATTTTTTATAGGGGGGGGGGTGTGCATTTTTTTGTGAAGCCACATTTCTTGCCTAGATGTCCCCCCGTCTGAAGCCTTCTGGGATACCCATATCCAGGGGTGGACTGACAACTCATGGGGCCCCTGTGTCCTTGCCAAAACTCAAAAAAAGCCTATGAAAAAGGTACCAGGGGCATCTCATGGGGCCCCCTACTGACCCTGGGCCCTCAGGCAGTGCCCAAGTTTCCAAATGGTCAGTCAGTCCCTGCCCATATCACAGATCCCAGGAGGCTTCAGAGCTGCATAGAGTCCATCTCCTGGTGAAGTCACAGAGGAGTGTGATGGCAGTTGGTGGATCACAATGGGACAGCACTGGATTCGCTGGATGA